AGAGGAAAGTACCGTATCCCTTTCTACATGTCCACAGACTGTGAGAACTTGCTTAAAAGGCTATTAGTGTTGAACCCCATCAAGCGGGGCAGTTTAGAGGTAACATTCCTGTTTTCTTTGTTTCTTTTTTAATGTATTATCATTACTATTAGTTTACTGTTTGTTGTTGGTCTGACGGTATTTATTTATTTATTTATTTATTTATTTATTTAGCAAATCATGAAGGATAAATGGATGAATGTGGGCCATGACGACGAGGAGCTGCAGCCTTATAATGAACCAGAGTATGATTTCAGTGACAGTAAAAGGATCGGTAAATGCCTCCTACAACACTCAAACACTACAGATTAATCAGTCAGAATGTCAGTACAGTGATATAGACAGATTTTTCCCCCCTGATTACTTTGTCCCAAATGCTAGAAATCATATACTATTGTTACTACATGAACACAGTACTCCAGCACATTTTAGTGATTTCCCTACTCTAACTTCAGTTGTTAAACAGCTGAATAACTGAATCAGGTTTGTTAGGGAGGAAGAAGAACACTGAAATATGTGGGACAGAGTACTCCAGGACCAGAGTTGACAGCCTGTATATTAGATCATCTCACAATATCTTAAGAAATATTCTATATGCTAGAATCCATTCAAATTCTTTGATAGTCATTATTTTCAAGTGTTGACCCCTCATAGCTTCAGTGTCAAGAAAACTGTTAGTTTTCAATTAAATTGCATTTTATTGAATAGGACTTTAGACATAGTCACAAAGCAGATTTAAAGAAATCCAGATGTAGATTTAGATCCTTAATAAGTCTGAAGTGTCAAGGTCTGCTGATCCACTGAAACAAGGGTGAGTCTGGGGCATAAACTGTTTCAGGGAAGTGCAAATCTCACATCGCGTATCCATGAGACCATCCACAACAACAGAAGGTGAGTTACAAGTGCAGAAGTAGTGCAGCAAGATAAATCATGCAGTAGAAGTGTGTCAGTATCATGCACTAGTGCCATTCATCATCACTGCTTTGGAGTACACATACAGCTTGACAAAGAAAGTACCGCTGCGATTATAATGAATCAGGGTTTTTTTTTTTTTTAAACGAAAGAAAATCTGGAAGTAGAAAAATGTTTGCAAATGTAACATTCAAATGATCAGCTAATGTAATAAAGCATTAATTATATTTACTGTGCTTCTGTCAGGGATGTATGTAGGCATAATGTAATACAACTTATGACACGCTTATTTCTGATTCATTATTTGTGTACACACTCCCAAACCACATATTACTGAATACTGAATTCTGTTAAACACTGTGGTTTGGAATAAACAAATCAAAAGCACAAAGGAAATAAGCTGCACATTAAAAAAAAATGCCCATGTAATAAGTGCTACTTCAGTTACGCAAGAAACTCTACTTGCATTAATATTTCTGTAGTGGCATGATTATTGAATTATAGAGTTCACATGGATTTCATAAAACCTCAATTATTATTGAATTACATACATATTAAATTACAGTCCTGGCAGATTCTCTGATTTCAGAAGCATGTCTGTTATTTTTAGTCGTGAATGTCTGTGATGTGTTTACGCCATCTTCTGGTGATCCATGATAATCATCTGTACACATGGCGTGAAATGAATTGTTGTGTTTCCCTGGGAATACTTCATATATGACCATAATTATAGTAAATAACAATCTTGTAGACACTACGTAGTTTTAATATTCAATCTCTTTGCTTCCATCATTCCCTGTATTAGTATTTTAGCTTCCTAAGTGGTCCTTTCATCGTGATTTTGTATAGAGATAGATGATAGCGAGCACATCTCTGCTGTCTGTATTCCTCAGAGCTGATGGTGACTATGGGATTCCCAAAGGATGAAATCACAGAGGCTCTCAAGGGAAAGAAATACGATGAAGTCATGGCTACTTATCTCTTACTGGGAAGAAAACCTCCAGAGGTTAGCAAGCGGTAGACGCTCACTATGTGTATTACAGCACTGATAAGAATTTCACAGTGTCACAATAAATACTGAGGAATTATTCACTGACACAAAGGGCAAAAAACTTATTTCTACAATGCAGCAATAGACAAAGCACACAAAGAACTTTGTCCTGTATTGCTAGTTTTAATAAGATCAGAATTTAAGAGTATTTTCTTTAACATAGCCACCTACCCTCATACTTACAGAAAGCTGTGATAATAGACAGGTTGTCTTTGTGCTGTCCATCACGCTCACGACACTCATACAGTACTGTAGTGAGGTGTGCTGAAATGTGTTATTGATTTTTCCCACTAAGTTAATCCTTGGAGAGCCAAAGCTTCCCTGTACAGACGCCTATGCGGCAGGGTGAAGGTTTTTAACTGAGGAGTCATCATTTTAATGTGTAGACTGGTAGATAAATACATGGAAGGGGATGTATGAATAGATGGACTGCAATTCGAAATGTAAGGGTCATTCCTTCAAAATAATATGCAATATTTAAAAAAAAAAAAACAGTCTAGTCTCCTATTTAAGACGTCTTTGATTAATTCCAATTTTCCATTTATTTGATTGATTTATATTTTAATCACTATAGCCTGGGTGCCAGGGTCCGAATCTCGCCTCCACCCTGGGTGTGTGTCTGGGTACTCCAGTTTCCTCCACCAATCCAAGGACATGCATTGTAGGCTGATGGGCATTCCCAAATTGTCCATAGTGTGTGAGTGTGTGTGGGATTATGCCCTGCAGTGGGTTAGCAACCTGTCCAGGGTGTCCCCGCCTTGAGCCCCAAATTCCCTGGGATAGGCTCCAGGTTCTCCTTGAGCCTGTGTAGGATAAGCGGTATACTTCCCAAGACAAATTTAATTTAGGTTTTAAATTGACAACCCTAATTAGAACATTTATTAGACTGGCCATATGGAAATTTTTTTGTCTCTATTTTGAGCAAATGTTTACCAAAGGTAATACACTGTTTAACACTATATACTATAGAACCAAATTAATCAGTGTTAGAACATAAGCAGAGTACATGCATTGGATACATGGATCACACCGCATATAGATTTACAAGATGCTAGACTATGTGCTCTTGTAGTGAGTCATTCCGATCAGCTGACATCATAGACATCAATATTCCAGCTTATGTCTTATACTTTTTGTCCATTTTATATTATATTTCAAAAGATAATAAACTGTAATATTTTCAATCTGAACATCAGTCTTCTTTTTTAGATTGAAGGCATTGAGTCTGTGTCCATCAGCAATCTGAGTCCCAGGCCCCGCCCTACCAGTGACATCAATACCAGCACTAGCCAATCCCCTTCACACTCCAAGGTCCAGCGCAGTGTATCGGCCAATCAGAAGCAGCCGCGACGATTTAGCGATCACGGTGGGGATGATATAACACCAATTAAAGCAAGAAAGCTCTCGCTTTCTTCTGCGTGTCAGTACAGCACGCTTAGTGCCCTGTGCTCTCTCACATGGACTGCCTAGTATCTGTGCTGAATCCTACAGCATGATGAGTGAATGATGAGCTTTACCATGTTCCAGATTGACTTTAATATATTTTAACATGTATATCCCATTTTATTAATTGATATTTATATACGTACTATATACAGTAGATTGTAAATAGTAAATAACACATTTTATTACATAAGTCTAAGTACGTTAACAAATAAATATATTATTATTAGTAGTAGTAGTAGTAGCAGTAGTATTATTTTACATGACCTGATTTGTGTGTGTGTGTGTGTGTTGTGTCTACCTTCAGTGGGTCCCTCAGTCCCGCCTGTAGTGTCATACACTAAGCGCAGCTGTCTAGAGAGCGAACAGAAGGAGGAGTGTGAGAACTCGCGCAAGCTGCTGAGCTCCAACTCAAAGGGAGATGTACCAGCATCTCCTCTTGCCGCCTTGGAGAGGAAAAAATCTGTTACTTCATCTGGAGTGAGAACTTGCACTCACTTTCTTTCCTCTGATCTCCATACATGCATTGTACAAGTGTCAGTAGATGTCCAGTTTACAGCGCATATTACTGTGCAAAAAGAAAGAGACCAAAATCGGTACTTACTGTTCATTATTTGGTGGCAAACAGCAATAGTGGGGAAATGCACAGAACATTTATTCATTTTCAGCTTGCAGTACATATCTATGCAGGTCAATATCCAGTATACAGAACAAGTTCAGTATTACAAATAAAATATTTACAGATTTTGTACTGGTTTTACTGCTGAAAACATTAAATATATTTTCTGTTGATTATGTTTTCCCGTAATTTCTGTTATTGTTCATAAATCATCAAAAAAAGGTCTTTAAAAAAAAGTATAAAAATCTGAAAATAATTTATTTGTAACTGTAATATTGACCTGAATAAATAAGTATTGCATGGCCATTTGATTGCAATCTCCCTTTTCCTTTATTTGTACATAAATACTTCTTATTAACAGAAACAGCATTAATTGCTATAATATTAAAATGATTGTTCATTTTTATGCTAAGCACATAATGTTGCATGTTAAAATATCATAAGCAGAGATTTATCTTTATTAAACATTTTAATTAGGGCATTTTGACTCGAACAGAGTATTAAAGAAAGTCGACAGTCCACTCTAGTATCTGTGCTCTCTCGCACTTACTCTCTCCGTTCTGACATTTTTTTTGAAGACTAATGGAGGCATGACACGCAGAAATACATACGTGTGTGAGCGCTCAGCTGACCGGTCGTCTGCGATTCCCAATGGCAAGGACAGCAGGTTAGAACTCTTCACTCAATATTGCAAATTCTAGGATTTTTCTCTAACACTGAAAAACCTATTGTATTGTTTATACGCATTTATTTAGAGGGGCTGGTTTATTATGTTGTAGTGTGTTGTATTATGTTAGGAATGGATTCCTTTAACAGTGTCTGGAAGTGTTCCTTTAAGTGTAGATAACCAGAAACCATGAAAAAAGGGATGATACAGCGGCCCTGGAGGGGTTAAGGGCATTAAGGGCTTTGCTCAAGGGCCCAACAGTGGAAGCTTGGCAGTGCTGGGGCTTGAACCCCGACCTTCCGATCAGTAATCCAAAGCCTTAACCACCAAACCACCACTGCCCCATATGAAAGTTTAATTACTTAAATTACTTAAGGATCCAATAACCAACAAAAAAAAAACAACAAAAAAACATAAGAAAGCCAGTGGTAATGAACCCAGCTATATACACTGACTCAACTATAAACACTATACTGTTGTGGTGTGTAGTGTTCAATCAGTAAAGTGCATTTTGGTAGCTCTCTCTCTCTCTCTCTCTCTCTCTCTATTCTCTATCTCCAGTTTAACAGAGGTCTCTGGAAGCACTATGTCAGCCTCCGGTGCCACTTCAGCTCTGATGTCTACAAGACAGAGATACTTGAAATCCGTATCTTCCACAGGCGCCTCCTCCAAAACCACCCTGCCACCTATAGAAGACAACAGTGAATACAAGGGAAGGTGAGCAAGAAGCCTGTGAACACAGCACACTCATGCTTTGCATTCAACCACTTTTGCCTGCAGGTGGTGCCATTTAATGTCGAGTCCATGCAGACCCATTGATGCAAGTTACATTTTAAAGTGCTGTTTTGCACTACAGTATTGTGATAGTATGATTCATATAGTCTACATTTGGACTTCATAAAGCATTTGTACTTTTTCTCAGTCCAAGTGCCAGGCCTCCATCTGCCTCACCATCGGATCACAGCATCAGCACACCAGAGCGCACTCATTTCCCCAGAGGGACATCCAGCCGGAGCACCTTCCATGGAGCGCAGCTACACGAGCGCCGCAGTGCCACCTACAATGGCCCGCCTGCCTCACCCACCCTCTGCCATGACACAGGCACCCTAGCACCAGCACGCCGGGGCACATCCACCGGCATAATCAGCAAACTTACCTCCAAGTTTGCCCGCAGGTAAGTGGTGCCAGCTGTGTGCTATTAATGTCAAAAGCAGTACTTATAATATTGCTCGTTCTCTTCATTGTTGTATTAGAATACAATAGAATTGAATAGAGTAGTAAGACATGCTGGGGCTTGCTCTTATAGGAAATAATCAGCTGTCAAGAATCAGCTGTTACCACCCCAAAGTTAAATCGTTTCCAGTTGGAAAAAATGTATAGAATGGTATACAGTAGTTGATGTTCTTTTAAGTAATAGTCACCTCAAATCATTACACATAATGAAATGATTTATTAACGTCTTTGGAGACGCAACTGAAAGTAAACAGACTAAGCTTAAATTTTCCAATCAAAGTACAAATTACACAAAAGGAAAAATGACAAAAACAGATGAATTTCTTGGCTCTTGGCTGGCTAAGAGTCATAAACATAATTAGGTATTACATTTACAACTCTTGCTATTCAAAGGAGACATAGCTTCAAGCAGGCATTACTGACTTGTTATTTTAGCCTTAAATAATAGGTTAAATAAAACAAATGTGTTATTTGAGTGATGTCAGTTAAATCACATCATTCTTATGCCTGTGATGAAACACACACATCATAATAGTGATGAAGGCAGAACGGTGATGACACTTAAGTACAGCTGTACATTTGAAGGAAAGTGTCATATGCTGCTATTATGAATGTAAAAATCGTACAAGTTCAGGCGACAAATCCTTGGGAAGTTTTCTTCTGTATATTCTTCTGTATATTCCCTATTCTTCTGTAATAGAACGTTAATAAACCCCTGTATGTTTGCACACAGTCTCTCCAAAACCGTTTGAACTAAACATACCTAATCCGTCCTTCTGTTTTTCATATTCCCCTTTTCCTAAACTCCTTTGTGAGATCCTGATCTTGATGTTGCCCAGCACGTAGCCAGCTTCACTTCAATTAGATCTCTAATGGATGACCCAGTCAAAATATTCTCACTTCCTGTCTCATTGACATTACCACAGTTTGTTGTTATGTGTTCTATTTGAGCACATTATGTTGCTCCTGCTTTCTGACTTGGAAAGGATCTCAGACCGTTCAGACCGCGTTGTTTATGTGTCTGTGAACCAGAATATGGTGATAATTGTGTGTTCTGATTGTTGCTGTTTTTTGAGGATTCCAAGTGAAGGGGAGGCAAGTGGCAAGTCAGAGTCACCAAGGTGAGTTTTTTTAAGGGTTTTTGTGCAGGTTTTAGAAGTGAGTTGGATAGTATTACCGACTAAAATTCTCCACTTTGCTGACAGGAGCACTTTGGGAGAATCGAAAGACGAAACTCGTGACTCGAAGCCACGCTCATTGCGCTTCACGTGGAGCATGAAGACGACATCTTCCATGGAGCCAGGCGACATGATGCGTGAGATCCGCAAAGCGCTAGACGACAATGGCTGTGACTACGAGCAGCGCGAGCGTTTCCTGCTTTTCTGCGTGCATGGTGATGCTCGCCATGACAACTTGGTCCAGTGGGAGATGGAGGTTTGCAAGCTACCACGCCTCTCACTCAATGGTGTGCGCTTTAAGCGCATTTCAGGCACATCCATCGCCTTCAAGAACATCGCTTGCAAAATTGCTGATGAGCTGAAGCTCTGACACACAGAAAGGACAGAAAGGAAACAATGGGGCTCAATGTGAGCTTGCAGCGGTAAGTTTGGTTCACATTTGGCTAGAGCCGAGGTGCTGCCTTAACAGAATGTGCGGTGCTCATCCTGTAAGTTTTGCTTTTCCATTAACCTTCCCATCTGATGTAGGCCACAGTCAGTGATTTTACTTTGATGTTGATGGAATTATACGTGTGCTGGTCTGGGAAAACCTGTTGCTGTGGCTAAATTCTGTTAGAAATCCCAAAAAAGAAGAAAAGCGGATTTTTCTGCATTCATACTATGACATTACAACTTAGGAAACCATAAATATAAAATATTTCACCAAAACAGCATGGAAATGTTTTTATTTACTTTCTAATCCTGCCTTGGCTATCTTACTGCAAAGATCATGTTGGGGAAAGAGCCACAGTGGTTTAAAAAAAAAAAAGGCAGTATGCCTAAAAATGTATACACCCTTGCTAGTTAAGTATGATTTCCTCACATGGTGATATAGCTTTGATCGAGTTGTTTGCAAACTTTGTGCCGTAGCAAACTGGACATAAGCCTAATCAATTCAGTTTGTAGTTCTTAATCAGGCTGTCAAAATGTCTGTGACACTTCTGCACTACAGAATCTATAAACCACTAGGGCTGCAACTAATGATAATTTTGATAATCGATTAATCTGTCGATTATTTCTTCGATTAATCGATTAGTTTGGATTAAATGGCCAGTTTTTATTTTCTGTATTTTTTCGAAAACAACATGTTATTTCACACTCTGCCCAATGTTGTCCTTTAAACATTGTGCAAATTGAAGGCTATGAAAAAGGTATTAAGTGTGTCTGTGTGGGCTATGCTATACACTGTGAAAAGGATTTTTAACGTTAATATTAACGTTATATTTTGAAAACAAAAAAACTGATTGTCCGCAAGCTTTAAAGCGGGAGTTAACTCATTATATTAAAAATGCTAAAGAAAAAAGAAAAACTAAGAAAAACAAAAGCACAAAGTGTTAACTTGTAAGAGGTTCATGTCCTGCAGTAACACACACATTCACTCGTCTGAACACACTAATGTGTTTCTTTATTCTGAAAATGTTCGGAAAACATTTTCAGAGGTGTTTCTTTATTCTGAAAACACTTATTACATTTATATAAAATTACATCTTCTAACCCCATTACAGTTACTGCTCTCATAAAAACACACAATTACTTTTGTTCCTTAATATAGAGAAATATAGCATCAACAACATATTTGATCAAAATGAATATTTTATTCAGAGTTATTGCACTTCCTTCCTATCACACGCTGTTTGATTGAATCGCTTGTGTGGACTCGCACTTATTCAGTGAAGTTTAATGGAGACTCACTCTTTATGTAAAATGAAAATACTGGCGTGAATTTCTAACATTTACTGATAAGGATATAAACGGAAAAATATAATTTCTGTTCTGAAGAAAACATGTCTGGAACACATTAAACAACACACGGATCTGTCACAGCATCTGACACGACAAGCCACGTTAATACACTTACGAGTTTGTTTGAAGCGCTTAATATAAAACACTCTCCTGTTTTGGATGACCCACGACACTTTTCCCCCAGCAGCTCATTCTGTGACCTCCGCTGTTTCTCAGAAGTGTTTTATTCACAGAAATGCGTTTTTCACCGTTGTGAAGTGACGTCACTGACAGGGTTTATCCACAGTGATGTCACAGACCCAACTAATCCATAATGAAATTAGATGTCGATTATTTTAGTTATCGATTTCATTTCAGAAAACCGATTTGAGAACTATATATATTGTAGAAAATGTCAAAATTTCACCATGTGAAGGGTTTTCCCAGGCCGCCACACATATACAGTGCCTTGCAGAAGTATTCACCTTTTCACATTCACATTTTCCACATATCTTTAACAACCTTGCATTGTAATAAATTTTCAATAACTGGAATTTCTTTAACCAAATTATTTAACCAAAAAACACATTAGTTAGTTGCATAGGCTGCAAGTCTTCTGGGATAACAGCCCTGTGTATCTGGATCCAGAGATTTTTGCCCATTTTTCAAGCTCCGTTTAATTGAATGAAATTCTTGATCAAATTGAGTCCTGGATTTTGGCTAGTCTATTCTAACACATTCAGGTCATTAGTGTTGAACCACTCCAGTGTATCATTGGCAGTATGCATTGAGTTGTCCTGTTGGAAGGCGAACTTCTGCCCCAGTCCCAAGTCTCTAGCAGACTGGAACAATTTTTTCTTCTAGCATTGCCTATTTAGCAATATCAGTCTTGCCCTCAACCCTGACCAGTTTCCCTGTCCCTGCTGATGAAAAGCATCCCCACAATATGAGTTGGGCATCTGCCAAAGGTAACGCTTTGTGCCGAGGACAAAAAGTCCACTTTAGGTCTCATCAGACCAGAGAACCTTTTTCCACACACTCGTTGAGCCTCAAACATGCCTTTTGGGGAAACCTGTGGCTTTTTATTCTCTTCTCAACACTTTTCCCCATTGTGGAGCCACTGGACTATGGTTGTCCTGTGAAGAGAATTACTTATGCAATCACAGCTTT